TCTCTCTCTCTCTCTCTCTCTCTCTCTCTCTCTCTCTCTTTCTTTCTCTCTCTCCGTCTTTGTGTGTGTTTGAGTACGTGCGCGTGTATTATATATATGCGTTGTATAAATGTATAACGTGAGCATGCGCAAATGGCCGTAGGCGCAGCACACATATGCACATCAACCCCTAGTCCACAGAAGGCTATTCCTTCTTAGTTCTTTGTACTCAGTAGAGCTGGGCGAAAAATCGATTCCGGAACCGAAACCCACGATTAATGCTACGGAACAAAAAGTTCCGACTCCTTTTTACGCAAATCAACGATTACCAGTAACTTAATCATTTAAATCTTCTTTTTGTTTAAAGAATTTATTTTTGAAAAATAAAAGTTGAGGCTTCGTTGTCTTCCCAAATCAAGGTCATCCTAGATCCTGAAGATTTCCGGAGCCAATTAGGTAACTACCGTAATAAATCACATCATTAGAAAGTAAGTAATTGGGTTCGGAGTCGATTCCTACGATTTCATGCTTTCAATAATCGGGAACCTAGCCGCCCAGCACTCAGCCTATTTTGTCCACCACGTTTTCAGCCCCACACACCTCCCTATAACTAATAATAGTTGCATTAAATTTATATAGCGCATATCCACACCTTACTGCATGCTCTGTGCGCTTTACGACTTCTATCATTACCCCAGCAGACCATAGAACGCTCAGAAACATTTTGGCTTCTCGGAAAGCATACATGGAGACATGGAGGCTCAAAGCATCAGAAGCAAGGAAACTGCAAAGCTTCATAAAAGGATGTCTCAGAAGGATATCGGGGACCAAGTGGTACGATCGAGTCACAAATGCTCAACTGTGAGGGAAAAAAACAAGCCAAGGTGAAAAAATGGAAATGGACAGGGCACACTCTGAGGAGACCCCGACAAGGATCATCAGACAGGCTTTGACGTGGAATCCACAAGGAAAACGTAAGAAAGTTTAGTTCTATTAAGAGTATTACAGCATTTGCAACACAATAAGGTGACATAAGTGCCGAAGATTAGAGGTGTGACAAGAGATTAATAAACACAAAAAAGAAAAAGGGGAGATAAAGACGATAGATGTTTGATAGGACAGAAGAAGCAAACCACACCAGAGCACACGCCTTTGGTGTAGGTAAAGATTTCTGGAAACCCCCGAAATCTGGGTTAGCCTGCTTGTCTTTAAAAGCGACCAGACAAGACAAAACAAGAGAAGACAAGATGCATCTTTTGTTTGTTATAGAAAGTGTTTTACGGCCCTCGGAACTGCATAAGGTCATATCAGCGCCAGAAGATTAGATGTGTTACAAGAGAGTAACAAAGACAAAAACAAGAAAAAGACGCACAGGACATGCTTCGCTGGAGAAATGTTGTTGATGGCCTACTGGGAGTTAAAAAGGAAAAGAAAA